AGCATTTATTGTGTGCTAGACACACTGCTGTAAGCACCTTTAAGAATAATATCATTTAAGTTTCCTAACAACCCTAAGCGTTAGGAGCTATGATCCTCATTTCATAGAGGACTTCGGCATGAATAGTTTAAGTAACGAACCAATGTCGCATAGCTAGAGAAGGATGTAGGTTTGGGACTGGAACCTGTATAGTCAAGTGGTTGATGCCAACAGGTTTTAGAGACTTGAAATGTTGGCCTTTGTGAAATTAATGCTGTAGTGGCAGCATTAATTTTATTATAAATAAAATTAAATGAGGTTATGGCATGGTCTTGGCTCACCACTGACTGTATAACTTGGACCAAGTCGGTTTTCTCAATCTTTTCCTAGCTGTGAGGTGAGAGATTGGTCTAGGTAATTTCTGTGGTCCTATTTAGATCATTTATGGGTCTGTGAGAAAGTGATTTAAAATATAAGCTATTAGGAATTTTAATCACCTTCAAATAGATGGTATAGGAGATGCTTATAGGCAGTCTTAACAGTTTTTTCTATAGAAGAAAAAAATTGGGAACAAGTTTCAGAAATTTGTCATTTTAATAGATGAAGATACTGGTTTTGTGAAAATAAATACTAATTTGAAAGAAAACGATCTGGACAAATGACAGAGGTTGCTGGGAAGATTAAGGGCAATGGTGGATATAAAGGGCTTAGCATAGCGCCTGATGCATCAGTCACAGCCAATTGGTGCTGTTACCCTTGTGAAGCTCGGGGATGCAACAGCACAGGAGCTACGTGGGCCCTGCCCTTAAAACTCACAGTCTAGTAGGGAGGGTGGCATTAAGTAAGTGGTGACCAAAAGGTGGGTATTGGGTATAGGATGCAGCAGGGACTTTGGGCTGGGGGGCCTAATCCCGGGTTGGAGGCAGACGATATCCCTGAGAAAACGATGTCCTGCCTTAGGCGACAGTCTGCTGATCTGTCACCGAGAGTTGGGAGTCCTCAGCTTCCTGTTGTGTGTTACTGAGGCATTGGTGCTGGGTTGTTCCGTGCCTCTCCTCCACTGGTCTGTAATTTTTTCAGCCAAAGCACCTGGCTGGTGCCTGGCTCATATAGGTATTCAACAAGTCTTTGTTGAATTAATTAGAATAAATAGGTTTTTTTTTTCACATTTAGGATCCTGCTGTCCCCAAAGCAGTTACCTATGTCTACCTAGCAAGCAACAGTAACATCTGGTGATGAGAATCAGAATTGGACTCCATACTTTTATAAACCCTCAAAGGACCTTCCCTTCTGTATCAGAATTTTGGAGTAGAGGATTGGACAAGTAGGCCATGCCTGAGGGAACGCTACTCAGAGTTACAGGAACTTGAAATTTAGGGTCAATGCTCTTCTAAATCTATACAGCCGGTGGCAACATGCTTCCTAGGCCAGAACAAAGCCGAATGCACACATGGTATTTAAAGTCCTCACGTGTCAAGTACTGGGACTGCCAGTTATTTATATACTTGATCCTGTTTGAAAGTTCTCCAAATAGAAGGGAGAAATTTGAGAAACGGAACATGTACCAGCCTTGACGGGGTTGCCACTTTCTCAGTGAATGACTTATCTGGGACAAGTTCACGAAAGAACCAGCACGGCCCAGGCATCCTAGCTGTAGTCTTAGTCACTGAAATGAGGCCGAATAATTTGTTCCTAGCAGGACAAAAGTTGTGCAGTTTTCTCCTAAATTCAGTAGCGATAAATGGGTCTACAGTGGAGGCCAGCGTCCATGTGCCCCTCTCAGAGGAATGTAGGAATAGGTCCTTTTGAATATTTTGAGCTTCTTACACCTTCCAGCTCGAGCCCTATGACCTACACTCAGCTTGTCTACAGCCACACTCAGGGTCCTCCCCACTGGTGCTCCTTCCTAGCTCACCTATGTGTCAGCGATGCCCTCCGGCTCCCACGGTCACACTCTGGGCTCAAACTCAAGCATCTTTCCTTCCTCCTGCCATTTATCACTATGAAACCAGTCACCAGGGCCTGCCAGTTGTCCTAAGCAAAGTCAACATTCACATTTGTCCTTTCCCTCTCCCTGTTGCCACCAATGTAAACCTAGGTCCTTCACCTCTGTTCTGCCACCTTCCTACAGCGGTGCCGCTGATGCCAGAGCCCTGTGCCCAGCACTGCCCGAAGGTGCGATTCCCATATACAATTCCAATATACAAAATTTTTTTAAACTCGGTCTTTTTGTTAAGATTTTAAAAATTGATTTTTAGAGGAAGGGAGGAGAGAGGAAGAGGAAATAGATATGAAAGCAGAACATCAATCAGCTGCCTCCTGCATGCCCCTACCGGAGATGGAGCCCACAACCCAGGCCTGTCCCCTGACTGGGAATCAAACCCAGCAATCCTTAGGTGTATGGGATGATGCCCAACCAAGCCACACCAGCCAGGGCTATCCTCAGATTTTTTCTTTTTCATAAGTTAAAATCCTCTGCCAATATTCGTTTTGGCCGTCATAAGAAGGAAGGTGAGATTCCCATATACAAATGGTCTTGACTGGAGGAGGTGAACGAAAAACCAGGAAGTACACAAGGCACTGGGAACCTAATCAACAGGGGGAAAAGGATGATCACTGAGACCAGCTGATTTCCATCCATGTGTTCTAAAAGACCAAGAGTGATCTGAACCAAGAGTGAAATTGAGAAAGTTTGGGGCAGATATAAATGATATGACCAGTGCACTGTGCTGAGAGCTGGAGGCAGAGCCAGGGTAGATCTCATCCATCGGAAAGATCTCTTGGGACTAAATAAAGACTAATGAGTCTTGGCAGAACATTTAGTTTCCTAACAAAATCAACATATGATGAATGAGATCACCATACACTATATACAAACACATCTTAGACAAAACAGCTCCCTGGGTAAAATAAGACTTGAAGTGGTATGAAGTGAGACGCTGGTGGCCAACAAAAGCCCAAATCCTTGGTGAGTTGAAGAGGCAGAACTGACAGTGTGTATCCAGCACCTTCTGCCCACGGGAACTTGAACCTGGAAAAAAGGAACAATTTTTATCTCTGGGGGAGCCCCCGGCTAAGAAGAGGCATATTTAATAAGACAAAATATCTCAAGGCAGATTGCCTCTGTTTGCTCTGAATCCGTACCCACAATATCCTTCTGGTAACTTGGCTTCTTGTGTGTCTGATTCCTGGAAGGGAGGGGCTCTGGATAAGGGTCACCGTCCCCTAAAGTAAACTGGTGGCTTAGTGTTCTGGGTGATACCATGACTGGCGTAGGTCTAGCCTCAAGAGACAACTCCTGGTCCAAGGACCAAAGCTGATTATGGAGCCTAGCTTTAAGCTGCAGCAAAGCTTTCCTTTTTGAGACAAAACAGCTAAATATGGAGTGGTATTTCATTGTGAGTTTGTGGTTTTTATTTTATTTTTACTCCTCACCTGAGGGTATTTTTCCATTGATTCATAGACAGAGTGGAAGAGAGAGAAAGACAGAGAAATATCCATGTGAGAGAAACACATGGATTGGTTGCCTCCTGCACCACCCCTACTGGGGCCTGGGCCTGGGAGGAGCCTGTAACGAGGTATGTGCCCTTGCCCAGAAACGAACCTGGGACCCTTTGGTCCACAGGCCGATGCTCTATCCACTGAGCCAAACCGGCTAGGGCTTTTAAATATATTTTTATTGATCTCAGAGAGGAAGGGAAAGGTAGAGACAGAAACATCAATGATGAGAGAATCATCGATTGGCTGCCTCCTGCATGCCCCCACTGGGGATCAAGCTGCAACTGGGCAAGTGCCCTGACCAGGAATCAAACTGTTACCTCCTGGTTCATAGGTCAACCCTCAACCACTGAGCCACGCTGGCCTGGCTCACTGTGGTTTTGATTTGCATTTCCTTAATGGCTAGTGATGTTGAGCATCTTTTCATGCGCTTATTGGCCATTTGTGTATCTTCACTGGAGAAATGTTTATTCAAGTCCTTTGCCCGGTTCCAATTGGTTTTTTTATTGCTGTTGTTGAGTTTGCTCAACTAATTTTTAAAAAAATATGTATTTTATTGATTTCAGAGAGGAAGGGAGAGGGAGAGAAGATAGAAACATCAATGATGAGAGAGAATCATTGATTGACTGCCTCCTGCACACCCCCAACTGGGGGTTGAGCCTGCAACCCGGGATGTGCTTTGACGGAGAATAGAACTGTGACCTCTTGCACGCCCCTGGTCGGAGCTCAACCACTGAGCCACACCAGCCGGGCTGCTCAATTGATTTTTGACAAAGGTTCAAAAGCAATCCAATGGAGGAAGGATATCTTTCAACAGATGGTGCTGGGCCTCCATAGACAACAAAACAAAACAAAAACTTGACTCAAATCTCACACCTTCTGCAAAAGTCACATCAAAATAAATCATGAACATAAAACGCTGGCACTTTTAGAAAATTACAGGGAAGTCTTTGGAATCCAAGGCTAGGCAAGGAGTTTTTACACTTGACACCCAAAAAGGAAGAAACTGATCAATTGAACCTAATAAAAATGTTAAAAGTTGTTCCGTGAAGTCCATGCAAAGAGAATTAAAAGACAAGCTACGGACTGGGAAGAAATTTGCAAGCCACATACCCAACAAAAGACTAGTATGTAGAATACATAAAGAATTCTCAAAACTCAACAATTAGAAATTGGGTGAAAAGACATGAACAGACACTTCACCCAAGAGGATACACAGATAGCAGGTAAGCACAATGAGAGAACTGTTCAGTATCATTGTCCATCATGAATGTCAGAACCACAATGAGATGTCACCACACAGGTATTAGAATGGCTAAAATAAAAAACACACGCTGCAAAGATGCGGATAAACGAGCGCTCACACATTGCTGGTGGGAATGTAAGATGGTACAGCCACTCTACAGGCCAGGTTGGCTGTTTTGTTCTTGCTTTTTTTGTAAAACTAAACATGTGATTACCATACAACTGCACTCCTGGGCATTCCAGAAAAATGAAAAGGTAGGTTCACACAGAAACCTGTATATGAATGTTCCTATCAGCTTTATCTGTAATAGCCCTCAACTGGAAACAGCCCAGAAGTACTTCTATGGGTGACAAACCTGGGCACATCCATACTACGGAAAACTGCTCAGCAATAAAAAGAAACAAATTATCGATACAACAACTTGAATAAACCTCCAGAGAATTATCCTGAGGGAGGGGGGGAAAAGTCACTCCCAAAAGGTTACACGCTATATTATTCCACTCACAAAACATTTTTGAAATGACAAAATTTTAGAAACAGAACAGATTAGCAATCACCAGGGGTTAGGGACTTGGTGAAGGACGGGGCAGGGAGGGAAGTGGGTGTGGCTGTGAAAGCCCAACAGGGGGCATCCTTGTGATTTAAGTGTTCAGTGTCTTCTCTTCACTTTGGCGATCAAACTGACATGTGTGATAAAACTGTGTGAAACTAAATATGCACACACGTGAATACCGGTCAGACGGGGAAATCTGAGTAAGACAGGTGGGTTGTGTCAATGTCAGCATTCTCGTTGTGACACTGTGCTCCAGTGGTCTGGCGCTGCATCTTTGTGCATGTCTATGAGGCGGAAAAGAAGGGAAAAAAATGAGATAGTTGAAGATTTTCACATTATAAAGGCCTGGGTAAATATTCAGAAAGCTTCCTCGGACCTTCTCTCCTAGAAATTTATCTCCCACCCTCAGATGGCCTTGAATACAGTAGTGACTTAAATTGGGAAGTGCCTTTAAAACAAACAAACCACAAGAGTCTCTTACTATGAAAATAAACCACATCCGTTATATTTAAACTCCTCTGAAGTGCAAACATGAACACAGCACTGCAGTTCCAACACCAACATGAAATAACTCTTTCTCACTCTTTCTATGCGTCCTTCCCGGTCCTGCTTCTGTGCCCATTTTAAAAAACACAACCTGAGCAATAGCTCACCATCAGGGCATGGCCTTTCCCCCACACTTTTTTTTTAATTTTTTTATTTTTATTGATTTTTTACAGAGAGGAAGGGAGAGAGATAGTTAGAAACATCGATGAGAGAGAAACATCAATCAGCTGCCTCCTGCACACTCCCCACTGGGAATGTGCCCACAACCCAGGTACATGCCCTTATAACCGGAATCGAACCTGGGACCTTTCAGTCCGCAGGCCGACGCTCTATCCACTGAGCCAAACCGGTTTCGGCTCCCCCACACTTTTCAAAGACATTCAAGGTGGGGTTGGCCACTTGCTTCACTCACCGTCACAACATGACCTTTCCCACAACCTGACCTTTCCCCCACACTTTTTTATAACATTTTTCTAAGACATTCAAGGTGGGATCGTCCACTTTCTTCACTCACCGTCACAACATGACCTTTCCCCCACATTTTAAAAACATTTTTCAAAGACATTCAAGGTGGGCCGTCCCCCTTTCAGCTCCCCCGCAGGACTGCGGAATGCGCACCTCTGCGCACAACGTCTGGTCCACAAAACTTTCAGAACACGCGGCCCAGAAGCGGACCGCCGCTTTCACCCGCCCCTAACCCCCCGCACCTCCTTCCGTACCTACCCCACCGCCGCACCCCGGACCCCCGGGCCGCTGTCACTTTCCGAACTTCCGGCGCCCTCTGGGCCACGTGGTGACGTGCGGGGCGTTGTAGCTCGGTTTCCCCGGCGACAGTTGCCGGGGCAGCGCGAGCAGCGTCCGGAAGAGGCGGCCCCGCTGCGGTGGCCCCAGACAGCAGGAGCGGAGCGACCGTTGTAAGTGCGGGGAATGCGCAAGGGCGCGGGCCGGAGCCGGGGGAGCCCGCAGCCCCGGGGGCTTGGATCGGAGCCGGAGCGCACACGCTCGCCCGGCGCGCAGACACCGGCCGGACGCTCCCTGCGCGCCCCACGCAGAGCGAGGCCTCCTCCTCGGCTCCGGGAATCCTCACGCACCGCCTCCTCCCTCTCCGGGCACTGATTTCCGCGCGGCGCTGGGGTTAGTGAGGCTCCCAGGGTAGGTCACCCGCCCGAAGCCACCGAGCCGGTGGCAAACTCGGGTCCGCCTGACCTCCAGCGCCCTCTTCTGGTCTCTGCTGCGGAGGCCTCGCGCCCCGCGCGCGGGTGGAGCGGGAACTGCGCCACCTGGTGGCCGTCACTATCCCCCGTCCTCCCGCTCCCGGGCCAGCCCCCGCTTCTCTTCCATCTCTAGACACCTTTTCAGGTGAAATTCCTCCAAATGGGCTTGGCAAACTAAGGCTCACAGGTCAAATCCAGACCACTGCCTATTTTCGTAATAAAGTTTTATTGGAACACAGCCACACCCGCCCACTCACGTCTTGTCTGTGGCTGCTTTTCACTGCAATGGCACGACACAGTAGTGGCAACAGAGCCCTCTGGCCCCCAAAGCTTAGAATATTTACCATCCGGCCCTTTACAGAAACAGTAAGTGGGACTCTGTTGTAAATTTAGGCTAACCAGACTTTTTCTGTGAGGTGTAGGAGCAAGGTGACCTAGAGGTGGCATTATCAGGGGGAAGGCAGGCTGGAAGGAGAGACTGCGGCCAAATCCCCCAAAGCCTTTGGTGCCTTTGGACTTGGTTTGGGGTTAACGGGCATCTACTGAAGCTTTTATTTATTTATTAAAAATATATTTTATTGATTTTTTTACAGAGAGGAAGGGAGAGGGATAGAGAGTTAGAAACATTGATGAGAGAGAAGCATCACTCAGCTGCCTCTGGCACACCCCCAACCAGGGATGTGCCTGCAACCAAGGTACATGCCCTTGACTGGAATCGAACCTGGGACCCTTCAGTCTGCAGGCCGACGCTCTATCCACTGAGCCACACTGGTCAGGGCTACTGAAGCTTTTAAAAGTCATGATTGAGCCCCATCCCTAGGAATTGGGGTTTAATTGGTCCAATATGTGCCCGAGTCATATTTTGGGAGCTCCTGAGAGATTCTAATGTTCGGCCAGAGTGGAGAGCCACTGTTTTAGGGACAGGAAGGGGGAAGCGTTGCGTCTGAGTGATGGGGAGTATTCTGATGCCATGCACAGTTGGGGGGCAGAGTCAGGGCTAGAGGAGGATGCTCAGCTCAACTTTGGTTTCCAGGGGATTGAGGTGAGGGGGGGTGCGTCTTCTGAACTTCCACGTGGCCACATGCAAAGCTAAGCAGCTAACTCCAGGGTTGGGGGCTGCAGACCCGCTAACTATGTACTGAGCCCTGATGGGAAATGTGCATTTTGTGAGGGTCGCTTCAGCTCGGGCCTCTTTTCCTCCTCCCAGGGCAAGATGGCAGCGGAGGAAGGCTCGCAGGACACCTTGCGGCTCCAGTTCCAGGCCATGCAGGAGATGCAGCACAGACGGTTACAGAAGCAGATGGAGAAACAGAAGGAAAAGGAACTGAGCCTCAACAGCAGAGAGGATGACCCGGAAGAGCCCTTGGAGGTCTTCGATGGCCTTAGCCTTCTCCAAGCCGGGGAGCAAAACTCGCAAAGCGGCTTTGAGCGGCGGTAAATGCACGTCTGAACTCTCCCCGGAGCAAAGAGGTCGGGAGGTGGGGGAGAACCGATAGCAGAGAGTTGGACCGTCAGGTTGACTGCATATGCGTTTGTAAGTTGAGACACAGGGTTATTGGCACAGTTTGTTATCGAAGACTCTAGAGCAGTGGTTCTCAACCTTCTGGCCCTTTAAATACAGTTCCTCATGTTGTGACCCAACCATAAAATTATTTTCGTTGCTACTTCATAACTGTGATGTTGCTACTGTGATGAATCGTCATGTAAATACCTGATATGCAGGATGGTCTCAGGCGACCCCTGTGAAAGGGTCGTTCGACCGGCAAAGGGGTCGCGACCCACAGGTTGAGAACCGCTGCTCTAGAGTCTGGTAGGTCTGCGGACAAAATTGGGTAGGAAATGTACTTAAAAACCACTTAAAGTTTAATTGAAATCTTGGAACTCATCAGGGTGTAGTCTATTCACTTGGATTTTCTTAGGTCGTTTCTCATGGAAACGGTCTGGGTTTCTGAGGAGCTGGTTGGCTAATTCTCATGGTTCATCGGTTCATCGACAGTCATCGCGCCATTCCCACCTGGGATTGTTCCCCGGGCAGTGCCCCTTTCCTGGCCCAGCCTCACAGAAGGCTGGCTGTGCTGGAGCTCTGGGCGGGTTCCTTGTGGTTTTACAGTTGGTGGAAAAGTCGAAGAGAGTCCATAACCTTCTCACTCTGCTCCGAATTCGACGTCCCGCGGATGCATGTCGATCTATACAGGAGTCTGTATTGACACAAAATTCTCTGTTTGTCATTTTTCATAAAAATCACTGCAGTTGGCCAGCTGCCTCTTCGCTTCTGGCTTCACCCAGGATCTTTTTTTCTCCGCCTTCAAATTCTACGGTTTATGGTTTCTCAATTTTCAAAATGTTCTACTAAAAATGCTAGTTGATACAAAATAGAAGTCCTCCCGAGAACTGAAACTTCATATGGCTCTTAAATATTAGCTCCACGCTAACCCCAGAGCTATTGTCAAATGACCTTTCCCCAAATCAGGAACCTGGAAGCGAGGGAGACTTGAGCCATTGGTGGATTAACAGCAACAGCAATAACGTCTATAACCTTTAACTCCTATCACGGGTGTACTTTCTGAGCAGCTGTCGCTGGGGAGCCTGTCCCATTCGTAATGGAAGTGATCGCAGACGCTCCGTTATAAATTGCCTTGCAGACAATTTATAACACACAAAACCAACCAGCCACCCGATTCTCTGTCAGGTTTACCGAAAACCTGGAGACGTAGCCTCAACGTAAGGCTTAGACAAATTCTGTCTGGTCTTCTAGCACGTGTGTGCAATGAAGACTGTAAATCCCCTTCTAAGCATCACTTTGTCTGCCTTTCACAAGTTGTGATATTTATCGCTTCTGTAGTCCGTCCATTCTAAATGCTGGACAATGCATTTAGGATTCTTCTTAATCCACACCTAATTTGGGAGTGGGTTTTGTTTTGTTTTTGTTTATTTAGTTCCAGACATGCGATAGGTTTGCCGTTTTGTTTTTTCTAGAATTGATTTCTAATTTTAGTCAATTGCCATGAAGGAAAACGGTCTGTAGAGCTATGTCCATTATTTGGCATTTGCCAAGATTGCCTTTGTACACGTTCCATGGATGCTTAAAAGGAAGATGAATTCTCTGAGTGGAGGTTTTACATCCCTCTCTGTTGAATCCATAGTAAACCATGTTATTCAGATTTCTTTCTCCTCTCACGTGTGCGCGCGCCTGTGCGTGTGGCTCGTGTGCCGCGAGTCTCGATTTTGAAACCAGTGTGTTAACATCCGCTCACGGAGGGTCCCCTAATTCCCCTCCCTACTTTGTTCAGACCAGTTCTCATCACCAGCTGGTGCCCCGCGGGGCAGGCAGACCTGGGCGGGGCCGTGACGCTGCCGGTGCCTTGCAGGGTGCTGGAAGATGAGATCAAACAGCTTCGCCACCAGCTCAGGGAAACGGTGGACGAGAACGGGCGGCTGTACAAGCTGCTGAAGGAAAGGGACTTTGAGATCAAACACCTGAAGAAGAAGCTGGAAGAGGACAGGTTCGCCTTCACAGGTAGCTCCACCGTCGCTGCGATGGGCAGACAGCGGGTTCCAGGCGGCAGGGGCCCAAGGAGCGTGCTGAGGGCTTGTCCAGAGGAGTCCTGGAAATGAGGGCGAGGGGAGGGAGGGCAGGCCCGGAGGCCAGCACAGGACGTGGGAGGGGAGAGCCGCAGGGATAGAAGGACTGGGGCTCAGCCGGGACTCCTGGCGAGGGTTCTGGATGGTGCTGGCTCGCTGTGTATTCCCTGGGCCAGCAGGGCCCATTTCCTGTGGGTGCTCTGGCCCCGACATTGAATCTTGGACGTGGAAACGCCCCAGCGGTAGCAGGCATTTACTCGACTCGCACTGCTGCTCCAGAGAGGTGGGCGAGCCGGGGAAGCCAGCTGTTCCCCGGGATTTCCTAGGACCCAGCATGGCCTAGAATGGACGGGGGCCCTGCAGGTCCAGGCTGGACCGGACCTTGGCTGTGTTGGTGGAGACCTTGCCCCATGGGTCTGGTGGGGACCGTGGCTTTGTGGGTGTACGTAAGATTGACCTTAGCCCTGTGGGCGTGGGCTTGACGTTGGCTCTGTGGTTATGAGCTAGTAGACCTTGGCCCCCGCTCCATGTGTGCCCGATGAGCAATCCCCAGGTGGCTGACCAGTAAACCCCAAGGCCGTGTCACCAGTGGCAGAGAGCAGCGGGCCTCGCCGGACACCTGCCAGAGCGTCCCTCCCGGCCTTTGATCTTAAATGCCTTCGAGGGTGGGGACACCCAGAGGACCAGTTCCCAATGCAACAGCCAGGGGCTTTGGCATCCTGACGGCCCCTGGGGTTCTACTGCGCCTCCCTGCGTGCTCCGGCCGTTTCTGTCTAAAACAGAGCACCGGAGACCAGGCAGAAACACTCGTCCTGGCTCGGGGCTCAGACGTGCCGGGCAGCCTGCCCTGGCACAAGGCTGCTGAGAAGCGGTGGCTCCACCGC